AAGTAGGAATAAGAGATCCTCCGGAAAAGGGCTTTTTTCCGGAGGATCGGGGCCAGTGTAGACGCTCTTTTCCGGCTTTTCTAAAAGCCGGGAAAAAGCGGCGGACATTTTTATTTAAATGCCGCGGGGGATATTTAAATCCCCCGCGGATTTCCCTATTACGACTCGTGAAATTAACATGCCCCTTCCGGAAAAGGGGCCAATGTAGACGAGCCCTAGGTGTCTCAATGGAAACCTTTCTAGGAACCAATTGAGAAGAAAGGAACTGCATCTAGTTAACATATATGAAACATTTATGTACATTTTAGAAGATAAAAAATGAAGCCACATAAGCATGATATATACTATTTGCTTATAGTTTTATCTTCCCTGTGGTGAACAGAAATCACTTGTTTAAGTTCACCAGCAAAAAAACCCCAAGCTAACAGTTTTATCCTTCCTCTGAGTTAAAGGGCCACTGGGTCATCAGACTGCACCTGGACACCCCTCCTCAAGTATGCTTTCTGTGTGTGTGCACACCATCAAGGCCAAAACAGTTCCACTAAAAGGATAGTGCCATGTTCCTAATGTTACATAATAACGGTTAATCCTAGCTTTGCTGTGGAGCAGTTGTTCTCTGTCCCTCCTATGTAGCAGCTGATACCTGAGCATGTATGCAAAGGTGTGGTCTGAAAGAGCAGTAGGGGGAGAAAAGCTGTTGGCACCCTCCCCTACTGTGAACTTGTGAATCATAGAATCATAGGACTAGAAGGGATCTCAAGAGGTGAAGTCTAATCCTTCGCACTCATGGCAGGACCAAGCACCTTCTAGAGTCTAGACCAGTGGTTCTCAAACTAAAGGACTCCGGAGCCCAAAAACATGTGTAAAAATTTATGCGGAGCCCCAGCAGTTCACTGATTGTATGTATTGTACTTATGCAGAGCCCCAGCGATCCACTGATTGTATGTGTTGTACCTATCGATGTTTCCAATTTGTCAACCTTGCGGATCCCCTGGAGATGTCTTGCGGAGCTCTGGGGCTCCACGGAGCACAGTTTGAGAAACACTGGTCTAGACCATCCCTGACAAGTGTCTGTGAAGGGCCCAACACAAATGGTACAGAAAGTGGAGTGATAATATAGTTGGGAGCGATAACCTAAAAAGTGTGTTAGTAAACACAGCATTATTACAACGTTTCTACAGCCTAGCCATCATTACCACCACTTTCAACAACATCAAAATGGAACAAGTGCATGTTCTGTTAGAAAGAAACCAATTCCTGGCCCCAATGCAATCAATGGAATAACTCCCACTAGTTTCACTGAAGCCCTACAATTGCCATCTCAAGAGCAGTGATAGAGATGCAGCCGTGTTAGTCTGGTGTAGCTGAAACAAAAGACAGGACTATGCAGCACTTTAAAGACTAACAAGATGGTTTATTAGGTGATGAGCTTTTGTGAGCCAGACCCACTTCCTCAGATCAATAGGATCTGGCCCACGAAAGCTCGTCACCTAATAAATCATCTTGTTAGTCTTTAAAGTGCTGCATAGTCCTGTCTTTTGTTTCATCTAAAGAGCCATATTTTTCTCTCCATTTTCACACACAAGTCCCTATTGAAATTGAGTTGTGCATACCTAAAACAGCCTAGAATATGGCCCAGAGGAGTTTGCTGACCTCATTTAATCCTGACAACTAAAAAAGTGGCAAATACCATTCCAAACAAAGTATTTTTCTCTTACAAGTCTACTTCTTTTCTTATCTCCACTACTTTTACTCCTACATTGCTCCATTGGCTTCAGTGGCATTACCAGTAACAATTGGTGGGGTAAGTCAGGAGAAAATCAAGCCCATAGACTTTCACACAGTAACACACACATAATCTGTGCACTCCAACTATATTTTTCTGTCTGAGAATACCTCTCCAGGATACACAAAGAAGGGTGACAAGAGAAACACAGTGGAAGTAGAGCATACAGCATTTTAGTGTAACCCTAAGTTGTAAGTGTGTCACCAAATAATCAGTTGTGATTTCCCTCTATGTAAAGCACTTGATTTGTTACTGTAGTTATGACATGCTGAGCAATTATTAAATGAAATTATGAAATCAGAGTAACTGTGTCCAGTCCCTTTTTCTTACTAAATGGGCATCATTCTTTAAGTTATTCGCCCACTTACAGTGGGTAATGGCAATTTCATCCTGATGGCAAAAAAGATTTGTATTGTTCATGTCTCATATTAATACCATGAATCAGCTAGGAACCCCAGTCAAAGATCAAGGCCCCACCCTGTACAGATAAATACTTTAAACTCCATCTACTGTTGGTCACAGCTGCAGTTGATAGTATGGCATCTGAGCATTTTACAGCTCTAAGTTCTGCTTGCTAAACGAGTTATATACCCATAATTTAAAAACTTTAAGCTAAACTTTTTTAAAAATTTTCTGATGATTATTTACAACTCTCTGTATGGACTGTGTAGCCTGTAAATTGTTTTGTTTATTTCACTCTTAATGGAATTCAGGAATGCTTATGGGCCTCAGCCAGCAGCATATTTAAGCTTTGAGCACATGGT